GAGGTTGTACCTACAAAAACCTAAAACTTTAATCTGTGCAGTGATACGTTGCTGCCAGTGCTACACTTGGAAAACCCTTCTGTTGTGTGAACATATCAAACATGATCTGCAATCAGCAATCAGTCTCCTAAAGTGTATTAAAAATGTGACTCTCCAACTTGAGCTTCATTTCGGGGATGAGGAAGAAATCCCATGAATCTATCAAGTAGGACAAGTGGAGAGCAATGAATGTGTTGTTGTGAGCAGAACATTACACCAGTGTGTAATCGCTGCACTGGACTGAGTCTACAGCACACTGGAGCACAGAATGTTCTCCTTCAAACTCCTCAGGATGTTGTAGTAGAACTCTGCCTCCACGGTCCGGCCCAGGGGGATTCATTCCTGCTGCACAACCTCCTGAATATGAGAGAAAACACAGTCCTGACCTGCTGTTGTTGGGATGAAGCTTAGTTTGTAGAACTTGTTGGGAAGCACTGAACTCTAAAAAGTGAGCGTCACTTTTCCATTAGCAGCACATTGATGGATCTGAAGCTCATTGACTGAGACGCTGCAGTTTTAGTCAGAATTCTTAAGGCCTCCATGTATATCACATGTAGGCTTCCTTGTGAAGGATGTTGTGAGAATGCAGGTTTTTCACCCAACCTTCAAGTGCACTCAGAAGAAAAAACACTTTAGCCTTTTGTAACAGCTGAATAACTAACTTTACTTTAAAAGAAAAAACATATGCATTAAAAAAGAAAAGAAAAGAAATATATATGTATTTAAATTTAGCACTCTTTACACCTTTCGACCACATGAGGATCACCTGCCTGATGTTGTGTTGGTCCTCTGCATGCTGCCACGACAGCTCTGACCCGTCGGGCCGTGGACACTGAACCTTTGCAGGTGTCCTGTGTAGTTTGGCACTGGGACGGTTCCAGCGGATCCTCTCAGTCCTGTGGGTGGTGTGGTGGATTGCACATGTTCCAGTACGTCCCGTGGATGGATAGTGGAGTCAGGAACTCGGGGCAACACCTTGGGCTCTTTGTTCCTTCAACGATTCCTGACCAGATTTTGCGGTTGCAGCTACAGATGGTCCGGCTGCTGCCATCGGGGGGCGTCGTGTGGGGGGCTTGTCTGTGCTTGTTGTGGGACAGTGTTGAAGTTCGTGGTGTGTATCAGGCTACTTAGACATGAAAGCCAGGACCCAATGTTTTCCAAGTAGAACACTGCATGGTAATAAGGCGATGATTGTTTTACTAGTTGTTTGATGATAATTTCAGAAAGTGCTTTAAACAGTCATTCAAACATGACAGAAGCACTCTTAGCTGTGGCTCTGCCCGTTACAGCAGTTCTCCCTCCTTCACTCTGTGCGATGGTGGTCAGGTTTGACTTTTGCCCAGATGATGATATGTACTGCTGCATATCTGCGATGTCCCTGTGATGCAGTGCAGTCGATATAATTTGAAAGATCAATGCTAAAACAGCCTTTCTGTCCAGAAGGAGGCCGGCTGCATCTCCAGAGCAGACCTGCGATATTTTGTGGAGCGACCAGGTGGGACTTCCCAGCCTCGCCTTCCCCAGTCACAGATCAGAGAGCTGCTCAATGTGCTGGACCCAGAACACTCTGGTGTAATCCAGCTGACCCGCCTGAAGAGTCTCCTATCCAGCATCGCTTCTGATCACCTGGACAATGTCGACCCGACTGCCACCCCTGCAGAGACCCCGTTCATCCACGAGGACACAGAAGACGCTGCTGTATGCTCGTATGACTGGTTGCATGAGTGCATGAACGCCTTACTTGTTTTCCTCCATAAGGCCGTACACTGTATGAGCGCTGTGTGTTGTTTTTTCCTCAGGAGGAGCAAAACACAGCGGATGAGAAGCAGACCACACAGTGGGCTGATGGAGTGTCTGTGGCATCTGCTTCATGGAGAACAGTGAGTGATCAGATATCACACACAGCATACAGCATGAGATCAAATAGAGGAAGAAAAGAGAAGATGAGATCAAAAGAAAAACGAGGGGTTAATTATTAATGCTGTGTTTGAACTGTGTGCGTGTTTGTTTTACATCTGTGTGTATGTGTGTGTGTGTGTGTGTGTGTGTACGTTTAGGTGGAGGGTTTGCTGCTGGACAGGCTGTGTGAGCAGCTCAGCTCAGTGCTGGCAGCTCTGAAGCTGTATGACCCTCAGCACACCGGACACGTCACACAGGAAGATCTGAAGGAGGTTTTAAGCTGCTATGGCATGCCCATTTCAGACGCACACTTCAAAAAGTAAGACACACTCACATGTACGCATTGCAGCAATCATAAGCTCATAACGGCAAAAAAAAAAGAAAGCAGGCAGGCAGCGGTAATATTCAGAACCAGACTGAGAACAAAGTTGTAAGCTCAAGAACTGAGACATAACAACACTCCGTACAGAACGCCAGTCTATCTATACTTTAGTTTTATGGTCAGGCAGCAACACCAAACAATTAAAATCAGTTTCCTTTGTCTGTGGTCAGATCATATATCACCACAAATGTGTCAAAATAGGTGCGACAGCAAAACAAAGTTGCTGAGAGTGTGATATGATAACACTTCACTTTTGCCACCAACCACTCTTTTCTATATCCATATACAGTAATGTGCAAACGTTTTAGGCACTACAAGTAAAGTGAGGGTGCCATGAAGAGTTGTTATTAATTAATTTCATACAAAAAGTGGTAAAGCAAAAAAAAAAACTTAAATGAAATCAATACTTGTTGCGAGCGCTCGTTGCCTCTGAAGCAGGACCAGTCCTCCTCGGACCTCTGTCACACCGTTTGTCAGGTACCTGGCAGGTAAGCTGTTCTAAGTCATGGTGGCCACGTCTACTTGATGACTAAGTCCGTGCTAACACCGGCCGTCTGAGGCCTGCAGCAAGTTGAAGCAAGTTCAACATGCCCAGGATGTATTTAATCATCTGGCCTCACTGCATCTAAGAGTTTATGTAGCTGTGAAGGGCAACGCTGGCACCAGATGATCAAACACAGGATGGACAGGTCTGGAGCTGCATAGTCCTCACTAGAACAACAAACTACAATCCTAAACCAACTTAAACAATGATATACAGTGCTGAACAACAGACACATACAGACAGAAAATCTTTAATTCAGTTCAGTATAGCCCAGTTTACAACACGTCATCTCGCAGCACTTCACATCGTCTGGTGTAGACCTCACGAAAAGTCATTAGTGAGATCTGTGACAAGTCAATGAAAACTGAGGTTTACATGTAGAGCTAAGAAGTGAGACAACTCTGGGATCAAATTCAAATCAATCCATGCAGGTTCACTGAGAAGCCAATCAGGTTTTCTTTTGAATAATTCTGTTACAAAAACTGAATCATCTCAGCAGCCTGAGCTTATTCCAGACAAATATAGATCAGTGCAGCGAGAGAGAGAAAAAAAAAGAGCATTTCCAGATATTAAATTTGGATTGTTCTAAAACCAGCTGTTTCTCTACGGTTGAATTTTAGACGTTTGAGAACATAGACAGAATCTCATCTTAATGTTAAGTTGAGCACAAATATGTGTAAAACAAACAGACAGGACAAGAAGTTATACTGTCCTCTGGGTGGTGACTCTGACCCGTGTTCTCTCCTCTCTGGTCTCAGAGTGTGAACATCAGTTCTTTTCTTCTCTAACAATGATAAACACACTGGTTGTGATTTTTTTTTTTTTAAATCAGTCCATTAGTTTCACCAGCTCCTGTACCAGAAACTCTGAACACCTCAGCTGTGTTTGCTCTGGAATACCAAGACAGTAACAGATTTACAGTAAAGAGAAGTGGCCTGTATGAAATATCTGTAGATATGTAGAACTACGAGTCTCTGTTCACTATATAGTGGAGAAAGTGGCCTCATGTTTACTGCAGGTAGGTTTTGGTACATTTCAAGCTATAAGGGGGTTTAACAGACCTTAGAGTTGCACTGATCAATATTTATGATTTTAACAATGTATGAAATCTATGATGTGATCATTGTTGGTGTGAGTGTCTGTTCTGCTGTTGCCCTCTGCTGTATGAAGACAGTCTCCTGGTTGGACTTGCATTTTCTTTCATCAACCTTGTTTGCAGCAAAAAAACAAAACAAAAAACAGATAAACCAGCACTGCAGTGCTTTCAACCACTAAACAGCAGATGGAAAAAGTTAATTACTGGCTTGTCAGCATATAGTGGAGTATTTAGAGAGCGTATTTTCTCAGGTGCTTGTGGACATTAAAATAGAGCAAAAGCTGAGCAAATATTGGACATTTCAGTTAGAGTTCCAGAAACCTACCTGCTTCATGAGAAGGCAGCTAAACGTGTTTTTGTTCCTGAAGATGTTGCACCTCTCTGCAAAGAAGCGTCCTCAGTTCTAACTGAACTTTAGAGTCCCAGGTGTGTGTTCTAACCCCTCAGTGACGTGGCTCATGGGTCATTACTGACTGAAGATCCCTTGAGGTGTTAATGGTTGTAAAACTGTCTAGGGAGGTGACACACTACCTACATGTGTGATGACAATGTAGCTTACAGCAATCAGGATGACCATAAACTGGCTGACTGAGATTCTCCAGAGACATTTCCAGAAACATGATCCCAGATTAATGTTAATGTTGCGCTAATAGCAACCGTTTGCTAACATGTTGGCCAGAACACCTTTTGTAAGGCCAGATGTAGATTACAGAAACAACATATGGTGTTAAAAAAAAAAAAAAACACAACAGCTTCAGTGTAAAATCTAACTATTGTATTTGATATGTGGGACAAAGCAGCATTCATCACTACAAGTCAAAAATCACCCCTTAAGGATTGATTTGCTTCTACTGTACGATATGCAGTGAGTCTGACTTCTAAAACATGAAACTAGTCGCCGTGGCTCAGTGTGGGTTTTTCTCAGCTCTCTCTCAGACTGTGTCTTTGTATTTTCAGGCTCTGCATGTCCTCCTCCGGCTCCAGACTGGCGAGAGCTGGCAGCTCCTCCACAACGGTTTCCTACAGCGACTTCCTCAGAAACCTGGGAGTACCTCTAACAGATGTAACACACACATCCTGCTGCTCCCACAAGAACACATCACGTACTTGGAGGTGAGCAGAGAGCGTATGATGGAAGTGTTGAGCTGCACTCACTGTGAAAACATGGGTTTACTCCTGCATATGTCTTAGTCAACAGACAGAAGAGACGTACATCTGATTTCCTCCCAAAATAAAAACGGATGTTCGTCATCGTGTCCGTAGTCTGAGGTCTGTTCCAGTCATGTGTGTTTGCTGCTTTGTGCTGTGCTTCACATGACCTTACAGTGTTACAGTTTGCAGAACGATTGATGTGAACATTATAGATTATTTAAAGTCTCCTTCCATTGCAAAAAAAATTTGCAATGTTCACTGTGCAAGAATCATGTGTGTACAGTGTTTGACATAGCGATGGAATAAAACATATAAAGTATATAGAAAGGATTTTAGGCTGATGAGTCAAAACATTGCCACAAAGCTCTTACACAATCGCTACAAACTGCAGATGCTGGACTCTGAAATCTATGAAAAGGAATCATCTGTCAGCTTTTAGATCCATTTGAACTCGTTTGTCTGATGAAGTGCTCGAGTCTTTCTTTCAAGTGTTTCTGTATTTGACAAAGTTACCCTCTGTCCCAGCACTTTTAATCATATTTTGAGCTCAATATAACAAATTAATTAACAATTTAATACATTTGGATGTTTTTTTTTATTCCTTCAGTTGATGGAGGCACACACCTCATTGCTTTACAATTTAACTTTTACTATGATAGATTGAAATGTCAGTGAATCAGAGTTCATAACAAGTCAGATTGATAAGCCTCACTAGATGTGAATGTAATCTGTTTTCTTTTTGTTTACAAATCAGGAGCTTACATTCAGTTTGCTGC